TACCAGTTTGACGACCCGTGCGAGAAGTCTGCGTAATAATTGCACGAAGTAACTGTGCTACTATGCCAGAGCAGGTTAGGGAGCATTCTGGTAATCCAATATGAACCTTACTGGGGACTACTAACGAAATGTATTAGATATTGGAGGAGGCATAATTTTTTCTCTTTCCAATAATTTTGCAAGGATGTAGCTTCGATATTTATTCAAAGCGACACAAATGCAGCATTCCATGCACGTGAAATATGTCATGCAACTTTGTTAACAATTAATTGGAAAAGATACGGCGTAGAAAAAGTTCCTACATACTTTGGTTGCTGGTACAACATTGTTATACCGTTTGCTGTCACGAGAACCGGGAAGGATAGCGACATCTAGTGATTTTATCCATCGATTTCTGCTCCAAAGTTTTGTAAGCTGTGCGTGGGTAACGCCTCTATTCGACAGCGAATATTCTACTACTGTACTCGACTCAGCATGTGCTACAAAGTGCCAACTCACATGACCTTTTATCGGGTCTCGGCATTGTGGCGCAGTTACATCGACATAGTACGAGAGGAACCTGTCCTTTACCTTGCTTGAAACTCATGGTGAAACCTGCGGGTTCGAGTTCGGACCCGCTGTCTGCGCACGCAGTCCGAGACTTTTTCTGCATTTTTTTTGGGGGGGAAATAACTATGTTTCATAAAACAAAAGTTTGAAAGGTTTTAGACTAATGTATTAAAGTTTAATATTTTGATCAGGGAAAAGATGCGCGCTTCTCAGGGCCGAGCAAACAATTTAACAACTTATTTTGTCTCCTAGCCTTTGTTAAACGACAATGTCATAAACTGATTTCAAAGTTGAATGCTACCGACTTTTAGTCTCTGACAACACAAATTGTAATGTTCTGACCCCTGATTTCGATTTATTCATGAAGAAAATAGTGGTTTTTGCATGGATGTAGCGTGTCGTATACTGAAATCTGAAAGGGTTGTATAAATCCCCCCCCCCCCCCATTGCAATTGTACTCTCGATTTCTTCTCTGTGCCGTATTCTTCGGTCTTCAATTTGGGAACATTTAATGAATACAAGGATGAAAAATAATGCTTACTCTATTCTTTGTCACCTCCCCGTCCCCTCTTTCCCCCCCACTGAATTGTTGGATCTGATCATTAATTTTCCGGAATCCATCACCAATCCAAGCACTTCTTCTTTGACAAAGACTCTAAGGTGGGACTATTTTCCGAATAAAATTGCGAAAACCACCGACGATACGCGAGAATCATCTTGTCTTCTTTCACTAGCAGCGGATGGCGTATGAATTTTTTGCTGTTCCACACAGCAATGTCTCGTTCAAGCTGCAAACAAACAAATGCAGCAACGAGTGCATGGAAAATTTCTGTGCTGAAATATGTCTCTTGGTTCACATACTTGAACATTCTCGCCGTAGAGGAAGATTTTCCCGACAATCTTGAGCCAAGGATTACTGAAGTAAAATCTGTGAACCATTCGTTGCATCAGAGGTTCCACAGGTGTGACAGTTTGGACTAGAACACCCTGACCGAGTCCAAACAACGAATCAAACCTCAGGATAACTATACCAGGTCCTTTCTTCAAATCCGTGCAAAAAACAAGCCAGTGAAAATGTATCAGCCGTACAAATATCCTTAAGAAACGGAAATCCTACTAAATGTACCGACCTGCTCGATGTTGGAAATAATATCCATGAATGGGACTCGCCAGTTTAACACCTTCCCGGTATGGGTTAATGCCACAGTTGAAGTATGTGAGGGATCACCTTGTTTCCATGAAGCTGTCCAAGAATGAGTAAAAATCTTGCTGAGGAATCCATGCAAATCAACCAAACGTGGTCCCGCGGGAATTCCTGCGGTGTGTAGCACATTCAGGTGAGCGACATCTGAACCATTCTCCGGTAAATCCTGTACAACGCAAAATAATAATCAATGAGAGATGTCCCTGCAGTCATCAAACCGGATTTTCAGGAATGCGCGGACGAATTAGGAATAATAAATGCGCTGCATATAAAAAAGAGCACAAATGCACAGTACTGTACAGTATATGAAATCTTTACATTATTGGAAACATGTTTTCCAAAATTTTTCTCGCAAAATTTCGAGAAAAGCTCTATTTCTTGCCCTATCATACCTGAATATGAGTGCTGATGTAATGTTCGGATCTTCCGCAAAATGAATATTCTCCATCAGATACCCCTTTGATCTGTGGTGGTTGCCAAAATGGTTCCTCGGCTTCAGCGTGGTACCAAACCATGATGAACCCGAGGCTCTCGGCGCAAGGCCAAGATTTTACCTTTGCCTGGACCGGTGCTGCGAAAATCAGCAGAAAGGGATAATATGAGTTTTAAAAAATGAATTGAAAGCACTACTTTAAATTTACTAACGTTTTGAGGAAGAATATGGAATAGATGTGCACTGGCCAGAGTTGCCATCGAACAGCCAGCCGTGGAAAGGACACTCGATGCAATTGCCTCGAACTTTGCCTCCAATAGCCAAGTTTGCTCCCAAATGAGGACAGTACGCATCAAGTACATGTACTTCTCCATCAGCGTCTCGAAATACCGCAAAATTCTCGCCTTTTGGGACCAAAAACAACCCCTTAGGGTAATTATTCACTGCAATTTTCTCATTGACCAAAATTGTACAACTTGACGCCAGAAAAATAGGACATACGGTACCTAAAGCTTGGATGAATTTGCTGGAATTTTTGGCCAAATCGTTGCTTTCCATTAGCGCAAACCAGCCATTTGGAAAAACAGGCGGAATTTCCCCGAGCTCTTTTTTCTTGTTCATTTGATTCACTCGGAAAGCTCGTTCTTTTGATGTCATTTTTTCGCTCTTCAGGTGTTCAAATCCAACTGCTTCATAAGGCTGAAACATTTTCAGGAATATCATTTTAAATCCGCCTTTCGCCATACATGTATTTTGTCGGTCTTGTAGAGTCTTGTGCGTCCGAGATTGACATCACCACTAAACAACTGTAATTCTATTATTAAATTCAATATGCAGTCATGTACATCATTTTAATCCGAAAATTCCAATAGTTTTCTATACCCAGCGCGTTGAAATTTACAGGAAACAACAAATAAAAACCTTCTTTTGAATTTTTAAAAATCTGAGCGATGAAGAATTCCAAACGAATTAAAGATCAGTTGAAATCGATTTTGGAGATGTCACAGCCGTTTTCAAATGGAAACGTATTCTATTTTGACAAATTATTTCTTCTGAGGTTACATACAAACTTCGGTTTAAAATTTCAACACTTGATCAAGGATTCTTGAAATCAAGGTTCCAGTCGAAAAAAAAACTTTAGCACATTGACAGAGGATTACTCCTTCCCTTATTATTGACCCCTCCGTTTTTTGAATGCCCTGATTCAAAATCAAGCATTTTTAGATCGAAAGATACTAGAAGTGGAAGCAAGCAAAAATTTAGTCAGAATTATAAGGTTTTCTCGTCAAAAAAAATAGCAGAAAAACTCACCAAAACACGATTGAGTGGTTTGCAGCAAATCAAATATGCAGCATAGATCAAAGAAGCCATGAATGCTGATCCTATAATCAGGTAAGCGTGATTGAGTTCCCAAAAGTTAGCCAAATCTTCCGCCGGAAATTCCAAATTCTCCGGTTCGTTTCGACAACAAGATTCAATGTTTTCCTTTTTCCGCAGAAATCCAAGATGGCCGACGAGAAATTCATCAACCTTGTATTTCACAGGGTCTTTTCGCATCGACACAAAAACGTCAGTCAAGTTGATCTGCTGTTCGAACATTTCTGCCGAGCTGTTTATTTTTCCAGCCTGCTGAATATAAGAAGGGACAAGTTATAGGATTTTGAAATTGCAATCCGTCGACCATTCAAGTACACTGCATCATTAAATTTGAGTCGAAAACTGGTACAAAAGTAAGAGAGAAAAACTTTGATTAGTTCCCCGTGAAACTTCAGAACAGCACCCACTGCTTGGTTGTTGCAGCGTTTCGAAACATAAACCCGGAGGCGGGATTTTTCTGCGCATTTCTCTTGCCGAAACATGGCCTTAGGGCTGGGGAAAGGCGTCGAATCGCCTCGGGAAAAGGTTAAATACGCAGAAAAACGGGTTTTGGACCTTCTCACATTTCTTCATGATGAAGGAAGGTAACTGGAGCAATGCGTACGCGAGAATGTTCGAGAAAAAGGGGCCAGTGAAAAGGAGTCACAGTTTGTAACGGGCAAAATGTCCTCTTTTTTGATTCACTCAAGAATAACGAACTATATACAATATCATAATTCGAAAACTTGGCAGCAGTTCATCAATGAATCACAGTCGAATATCACATCTGATTTACACAAGTGATTCAACTTATTATCGAATTCTCTAAGACAAAAATAGAGACCGGCTATTAAATATAATAATTTTTTTTACAGATTTCTGTGCACTTTCCAAGAACCATTCACTAGAAGTGTCTGAATGATTCTCAATTCAAAGTGCGGAGAGACTCAAGCTCAGTATACTTCTAGTTTTCAATGACCTCCACGCTTTTTGCAATTATTTTTTTTTTATTAAAAACAATGGAAGATTTAGATTTGTGTGAATCTCCCTTTGTTTTAAAGACCTAATCGTGTCTAAGAAGCAAGTTCAAGAGTCAATTGTTTTCAATAGTCAATTGTCTTTCATCTTTTTCAAGACCTCATTTTCAGAGAAAATATCTCACGCAAACTATGTTCGAAAAGTGAGAAAGAATCCTCACGTTTTCCGCAAAATGAATCGAAGAGTTTGAATGGTTGCTTGGTATAATTTCTTAAAACATAATCTGGAATTCAAATGGTTTATACAGCATAAGCTTTGCAAAAATTTCCCTCACAATTTTCGTCATCAAAATAGTAAGAATCTTTTTCGAATTCCAGGTATTTCTATATCGGAGTCTATTTCTCCCACACGCAAAAAAAAATAAACAGAAAAGCTGATAGATAACATGAGTAGACTTCTTTTGATTTCCTCAGTAAACCGAGACGAAATCTATGATTTATAGTACTTTTCACCAGAAAATCCAGAGACGAGCCCAAACATTTCTGACTCAATTTACTCGCTTGAACACAGGAAGTTTTAAAAATTGAAACAAGTACAATAAAAGAGCCATCTTGAATTTCCGAAAAAACTCTGTGATAGGAAGAGAGTGGCAACTGTTTCCTACACCAGAAACAGAATCACGCGCAGAAGAAGCGCGCAAATGGTTTTTTTTTTCCGGCTCCACATTTTTTCTTCGTTCTTCTTCAAACACTCTGAAATATAAAGAGAGAAGGCCCTGATTTGCATACCTCACAGTGAAGAAGTCCCGTTTCGGCACCATAAAACTGGAAAGGAAGGGAATGAGAGCAAGAGAAGAGGAACAATGAGTTCGAAAGAAAGAAACGAAGGAAAAAAAGAAAGAAAAACACACACACACACACAAAAGAAAAAAAAATCCACAGCAAAGAGAATCACAAGGCACCGTTACGCCGATTTGGCCACCACTCGCTTTCCTGAGCGCCGCCGCCGCGATCGATGATCGTTTCCTCCGCCTTTTATAAATTTTTTTTTCTCTCTCTCTCTCACGTGTTCTCAGCAACAACAAAAAAATTATCAGTGTTTTATTTTTTGAATTTGCGCCTTAAAAAAGTGTACTAAACAACAAACACTTCATATATTTTGTGATACGCGACTCGTCTTTTTTTTTTCTTTCTTCGTATATCTACTCTGAAAACTTGCTCCCTTCTGCTGTTGGTGACATGAACGAGTGTTCTGGTGGGAATGGGCATGGAGTTGGACGCCCGCCGCATTTTTTCGCTGCTGGCTTTTCGAGGTGGGGGAGAAAAAGAGAGGCCGGGAAAAGGCCTTTTTTTTACCGCGTCTATCGAAGGCCTCCACCATGGCGTACTGAAGATCCCGCAGGGAGCAAAACGACGTTGTGGAAAAAATTAGTCCTCACATTCTTGAGGTCTACAAGGCATATAGGCAAAAGGTAACTGTACAAACCTTCCCCGTTAAAGTCGTGCCAAAAATTAGTTCCACGACGAAATGAAAATATTCCCCGACGAAACGCCGCACAACTCGGAACTAAAATTCAGCGGGAGAAAAATTCAGGAAGCATTTACACCAGGTAAGTAGAAATATCAGCGAAAATAATTTTCGGACACATGAACTGCACCTATAGCTTGATGGAAATGGAAGTGAACATTTTCAACGGGAACGTTTTGAAAAATTCGCAAATAAACGGAAGTTTCCGCGTCGTTTTTCTCTTGCCTCACTCGTTGAAATACACTAATACAGTGATCATATATTTGTGTCCATTAGCCCTAGTCCCAAGATGTCCTTTTCAAATACTGTTTTAGGATATTTGCAAAGAATTGTCATTCGGTAATGATAAACCAACGATGAAAAAATAGTATTACATTGACTTTAACTTCCGAATTCCGGGTGATCCGAAGAATCAAATTTTGTCGGATGAGATTGGAATTGTAAGTGAGACTGAAACAGCCATACAGTATATACTGTATTTATTTGGAACGAAGTGTGCGTCCCTGATTTTACCCTTAAGGTATAAGCGAATGTACAGTATTAATAGTTTTTCTTAAATATTTTGTGATAATAAATAACCTAGGACGAGTGTATCTCTGCATTTACTTCAACGAAATTATTCAAATTCCGACTTGTTCTCACACAAGGATTGCAATCAAAATGAGTTACGAAATAGTTTGAGACAGAATGGAACTCATTTTTATCTCGGGCCGAAGATCCTCCGTTTTTCATTCCGTTTTAAAACTTATACAAATCCCCTTTTTCGTCCACCCAAGATTATAAATATCATTTCAATCAAGTACAGTAGAACTTCGTTAAATAACGCATAATTGGTGACAACGAATCCATTTTTCAGGTCCCTGCCCAATAGCAGCAATCTTATATTCGAATCGCATTACATAACAAACGGATTTATCGTTATAAAGAACCTTTTCACTTGCTAAAACGGCTTTATAATAACGAAATTTTGCTGCGAATACCGCATGCGCTCTATATATACAATGAAATCTGTTCAACCTTTTTTTTAATTAAAACAAAAAACTCCATCTCAAAAAACCAAATGGCGCTTCTCGCCCAGAAGAACAAGACTCCATGTATAAACCTACATTCTCAGTCAACCCTATACAATACAATACAGTACATGTATATATGTATATATTTAATCAGAGGAATGAATCTGAATGCCAAAAGGAAGCACACATTTTTTCGGCAATTCAGAAGATACGCCACAGCGGAAGAAGGCAGGTGTGAGTCTCTCTCTCTCTCTCTCTCCGTTCCTTCTTGGTTGATGTCGTCATGTCATATGTTGTTCTCTCGCCAAGAAATTTTTCAACGCGGAGAGTAGCGTCGCCCACGCATATTTTCGGGTCGCGCAGGTCCCCCATGCCTAGTCGCACACCCGCCTTGTCGCGCTCAGCCCCCTGGCTCCCTTTTTTTCATCCCCGCGAAAACGAAAAAAAAAGGCCTCAAACCTCGCATTTCAACCTCGTTCATCCGGTCCACTTGCAGAAAATAGAAAATACGAAAAGAAAATTCCACCGAAGCCTCTTTGGGAAAAATATAAAGTCGAGAGAAAGCCAGCGACGCCGCGGAGTACAAGTTGATCTCGCGACGACGAGGGATCCTCGAGAGAAAAATTGGCACACAAAAAAGAGCCAGCAAAGGGCTTATCTTTTCGTTTTATTTTCCGGGGTTCGAGGTGGTGCTGGGGCGGGGGATATACAAAAATAAAAACAACAAAAAAGGCCGGGAAGAAGCAAGTTATTGAAAAACTTTGGGTGCGAGAAAAAAAGAAAGAAAGAAAATGGTTCCTGTCGTGGCGTTGGTGGCGAGTTGCCCACTGACACTCATGTTGGGCTCGGTGTTGGCCGTGCTGCTGTTCGTGTCGGCTCTGGTGTCGAGGCGTCCCTCGTCGCCGTCCTCGTCAGCATCATCATCATCATCGAAGGCGGACTTTGGGAAGGCGTGTCGAGCAATGGCGCCGGCGACGGGTCCGGAAGTTGCCAGCGAAACCAAGCAGTGCATGCCGGGCCCCAGGCCGTTTCCCATCATCGGATCCCTGCACATCCTCGGACGGTGAGATGAGATCACCTTTCGTGTTGAACATATTTTACGTCTGCCCCTCTCGTGAATCCCGAATACACGATTTAAAATAATAAAACTAAATGAATCTGGATCATAAAAAACAAAAATTGCAGACCCGAAGTTATTGGCAGAAGAAATGAAATGTAATGCATTTACCCCTGAAAATCCAAATTACCTGGAAATTAAATGTATCAAGCGCTCTCCTTAATTTTCAAAGACGACGATGAAGGAGGAGAATTGCGAATTTTGTGCAATTGTATTTTGAGTTTCGAGGTGTCTTATGCGTACTTTCGAGCCAAGTGTGTATGATTAAATCAAATATAATAATTTTCCAAATATAAGTCTCTATCGTGGGTTTTCCAAAATGAAATTCTCCGAATAAAAGGGAAAAAGTGACGCATTTTAACCGGAAGTGTTTTAATATTTGCAAGTGTAATACACGCGATTGCATTGAATACATCATTTATTTTGAAGTTGATTCGGACTCGGATTTTTTCAGCAAAGTTTTTTTCTAGCAAAAAAAATATGCGTCGTAAACTCCATCCGTCACCTAAAATTTTGCGTCATCCTGAAATTGATGACGCAGGGCCAAGAAGTTTTACTTATTATAATCAATGCAACGTTTCAAAAAGGATTTACCCAGAATCTAATTG